TTAGATCTACATCGTAGTCTATGTCCTAAATCTGCACAACATTTTTGTTTTGGGCCCAAAGACAAAGGCAAGATTTGCATGGTCCTTTAAGTTTTTCGTATAAAATGGTTTGTTGTTAAAAAAACGTTCAGTACCACAAAAAAAGTACCCTGCGTGAAAGACCAGACTATCTGAACTTTATGTTTCGTTTTTTCAGAAATCAGCAATAATGCTGAAAATTTTAAGTTTTTCGTATGTAAAAAAACGCGAACCAACTACGCTATTCTGGCACCATATTTGGACTCAGCGACCCCGAATGCCTAAAGTGCAGGTAGTCTGGTCTTTCGCGCAGGGTACTTTTTTTTGTGGGCCTGTGTTATTATTATTATTATTAATTCAAGAGCTACCTCACTTTAGCTACATCCACGATTAAATATATCTTAGCCTTCAATATAAGATATTTTCAATTTAATTGGTATTCTGGGACGGAGAAGGCCAATTCAACACATCAATATTCGTTTTAGGTATCGAAGTCGTGCAGAATCGAATTTGGTATTTAGGGCCATTGTCCTCATGCTAAATCCATAAATCATTTTTGCATAGAAACATCATAATTATGGGCCAATGGTAATAAGGCTTGCCATTTTCATCTTCAAATAACCAAAACCTTTTTTTTTTGAGAATCATCGCCAAGGTTTTCGAAATCATGTTCGTGGTCGTTTCATGGTCCATACCATCAGTCTATAAACAGCCATAAACTAAGTTCGAACTGAGTAACCGGCTGTAAAAAATAAGCTTCATCGAAAAAAAACCTGCCTCAATCATGATAATATATGAGGAGCTGGCGAACAAAACGTCATAATAACGTATAATTGAATTTTACAGGAACAGTTAAAAACTGAATGACACAGTTACAGTGAGCTTTTGGCATGTTTTTGAACTGATTAATGTAGTAATTTTAACACTGTTTTAGGTAGTTTTGATTGAAAATCAGTTAAGATACAAATTCAGCAGGCACAAAACATCCGGACTGTAAAAAAAAAAGTTTTTTGACCAGATTATACTGTTTTGTTCGCCAGCTCCTCATATTGGTTTTCGCATGCCCAATGCAGCCTTTTTTCGTTACTTTTTATTATTACCGATATTTTTCACACTACTTTCTAGCAAGAAACTGGAATGAAAACTTATGTTTTTTTACCAAGCATTTTAGATAAAGGAATTTTCTATTCAACCTTACCAAATTCTTGAAATACGCCGATAGCGTTCTTGTCGAACAGTTGTTATACCATTTTTAATAGTAGATATTTTGTGATTATTCTCACTAAAAAATAAACAAAATTTAATACTCAGTACTCAGTCAGTACAAAATCAAATTATATTACAGTTTAAAACGTTATAATAGGCAAGTCACGTATCAAAGTTCATATAAACAGTAGGTATACATACTTACATGAATCTTCTTTTGGTTTTAGGTGTCATCTCAGCGCGTATTTTCGTAGAAATGATCCCGTACCCGTATCTGTAGAATAAGGGCGGCGTCCTAATAGAACACGAATATGCATTCATCGCGCGAACTTGTTCATCCAAATCGAATCACATCAAAGAACGTCTTATCATGCATTAAGTTTAATCGCAGATCCACAATTTGCCTATTAACTGCACTCAGAAAATTTAGCGCTTATTAAAGTGACATGTCATCTTATTCCATTGTTATCGCTAAGAAAGTGTCAACGTTACTTTTAATCAAACTTAACAATTAATTGACATATCTGACTGCGGCCGTAGATGTCCTAATGAACAATAGCGTATTGTAATTTAATTTTTATTCATGAACAAAGTTAGCACTGACTAACGAAGATTGCATTCGTTTGGACGACGCGGCGAGGCCTTAATTCAATATTCAAATAAGTAAGATAAGGTCAGATATAAATGTATCTCTTTTGTTGAGGAACTCGATTTGCCGTGAAAGTTAAGTAACTTTCGCAAAACCCGGTCGCAGGATGTCAGTATTAATTGAATCTATAGTTTAAAAAAAACTCTTATTTCAATGTTGGATGATAAAATATCTATAACGTGAGAAGGTGACATTTTTTCTGTCGTAATCAGCGTCGTGTTGTCATTAATTCATCACCGAAAGGGATGTACTTACTTAATAGGTCTCGTGACCTTTGCACCCCTCAACGTTACACAATATTTACTCCAACCGGAATGTTTAACTACTGCGTTCAAAGGGCACTGGAATGGCAATTGAGGATCTGGAAAGGAGTTATGAAACAAGTAGCACTTAGTATCATAATCGTAGATATTTTACAGCTCTTTATGGGTACTAGAATAAAGGAAACTTTGTAGGTTTCTTCAGTGTTTTTCATTTCATACCTAAATGCTGGAACCTTAAAAATATTTTGTGTTTGCATTTACTTAGTTTGAGTATGTGATGTGATGTTGTCAGAATCTAGAAGTTAAATTCGCCACAATGTAAGTAACTCCGCCACATTTAGGTAAGATCTTTGCGAGTCGAATCGCAGCAAGCATGAACGTCACGTCATCAGTTCACTTCTTGAAAATGACACTGTGGCGATTTATCGTTAGTTTACTTTGTAACATGATACCTTGAAAGTTTACGTAACTGAAGCGCCACTTGAAAATTATAGGTACTGTGACAGACTGAGTCTGCCACAATATATTTATATATATATATATACCTAATATTGTTTGAATATGACAATTTTTCAAATTCCCTTGCTCGCACTAGTTTATTTAGCCCAATTGGCGTAGTGCAACCGTCCAATACTTGCAACTTGGTTGAAAAAATGGAATGCACTAATAGGAAAGATTAATTAATCTTTCAATAAAACTTCGCTTCTATCTTTTTCACTCGTTGTGTTTTGTCATAATTGTAGGTGAAAATAAATGAAAACGACCGTTTCACAGCAATATCACAATTTAATGGACAATAATTCAAAATACAATACAGATCTTGGCTACAGATTCGTAAATAGTAAAATATTATTTTTAAGAAAAAGAAGAAGTTTAATTGATTTTATAGTTCTTAAAGATAAAAATGTTAAGTGACGTTAGGAAAGAAGTTGAGTAACACTCTCATCTCATGTCTAAATACTCTATAAAATGCACTGTACTTAATCTATGAATAAAATATTCAGAGCATTAAGGCAATAATCATCTCAAATATTAATTATAATAAACTATGGGCTTATTTAATGTAATTCTATTATGGCACGTATTACAAAGGTCATGATGGTGTCAAGAACATAATAAATAACCTAAAAATTGATACGGCGCAACTAATGGCGCAGGAAACAGAGACTCAGATGAAAAATTACTCTGAAATTCATATTCCTATCTAATACTACGTTAGTAAAAAACAATAGGAATAATTTTATTTAAACGAAGACTTTTTTTCTATAGTCACAATTTATTATAAACGCGTAAAACTTATTACGCAAATGTACCTACAAGCTTACGACCGCAAAATTTCTCATCGTTAAGATAATAACATTTTGGTGTTATTTTAGAAACAAAATAAGCATTCATACTTTCGCCTTTTGATTTATTTTATTAGTAAGGTACTACATATTAGTAACGTCGGTGAATTTAAATTCTTGTGAGGTAAATTAAGTTCTTAAACATTATATTTATTACATTTTGTGTACATTAATAGCTATTTATTACCATTATGCAGTATTTAATAACTCAGTAAACTTCTATTATATACTTCTAAATTCGATAATTATGTATGTTATTTATTGTATTATTATTAAAAAGCAAAGTGCTGTTACTGGCACAGAAACGCTGGAATGCTTAATAATTGATTAAAAAGATATGTATATGACTCAAACTACGTTAATAGGACAAGAATTTAAAAAATTTCCTACTTAGTATAAAGATAATTGAATAATTAGATAAGTATCGTCGAATGAACTAAATGATTCGGCCATAAAAATATGACTAGGACTTTTAATTTATATGGAGTAATATTATTTAGCTTAATAAATCTAAAAGAGGTGCACCATTTAATTACCTTTTAATAACGACCTTAGTAAATCGCATTAAAATTTGGTAGATATACAAAGCGATATAAAAAATATCAATATAAGTAGGTGTCAGATCCTTAATAGAAACGACAATGTCATTGTTCCCATTCGTTAATTGATAGATTAGCAGACAAATAATCTATTACTTATAATTATAAAAATGACCGATCAGTTCGACGCTACAGGCAGCCGCCTACATAAATGAATAAAATTGGCACAAATTACAAACAAAATATACCATGTATTATCAATATATTAAGAATATTAAATTCTTTATTTTTTTTACGAAATATACTAGAAATATTGGTAACCCATCTAATTGTTAAGTACAAGTATGCAAATTACATTTGAATTATTCAGTTATAGAAAAATACTATAATAAGTAAGTCTATTACATACATCAATAAGTATAATCCATAACTAACTTTTATAAATATATTAGGCATTTGATAACAAATATTATAATTATTAATGACAAACATTACATTAAAAATTACAACACGTAAATAAATTAAAGTCACACAGATATTTGTTTTATTTAATTTTACTAAGAGAGCAGAGTGAAATATTAAATATTTTCTTCTGTACTCACTTAACTACAATAATTAAAGATGCTCACATTGAGTAAGAAATATTTCCAAATAGGTACTTCCTAAGAAACCGTATTTTCCAAATAGTTTTTACTGAAAGGTTGTTGGCAATTAATTTGGTTAAGAATACCTCAGGCGAGATCGTACAATCATAAATCTGGCCGCGTTAGATGTCGCTCTCTAAAAGGCCCGGCCTTTTCGGTGACTCGCAATCAATTAGTTCGATATCCTGATCCTCAGAAGCGTTTATCGCTTCACCCATTACATGAGCATTTCCGTTCTTTTGCGTTTTCTTGTCGTCTATTTTGAGAATTTCTATTTCGACACCGATTTCATCTTTATCGACCGCCGTCCTGCTCGGGCGACGGTCAAGATCCTGTCAAGTGGGCTCTATATCATCATAGTCATCGTCTTGAAGACTTTTCTCTGCTAATCTGAAACTCTCTAGGAACTCGTTGAGGTCCACGAGTCCATCCTTGTTTATGTCCATTAGCCGGCAAATATCGACGAGTTGCTCCTGTGTCATTGGATTGGGCATGTATTTACCAAGCAATTGGCATGCTTCGGAGAATTCCTCAAGTGTTATGTAACCTTTAAAATAATATTATTACCTACGTTAGAAATCGTTAATGTTATCTAAGCTTTTACAAGCAGTTTATTATAATTAATTGAAGAACGAAAGCTCTTGTCCAAATTTATGTTTTGCTATAAATTATAAATACTTATGCAACTATGCACCAACATTGTTATATAAAAATCCTCCTTGTTAACTGTTTTACAGTCAGTAGAAATAGAATGAGGCTTAAACATGATTTTGTGTTTTTAAGTTTTATTTATTAATTTTGGTGCAAGTGGGCCTAAGGTTTGGTATATTTCATATTTATGTGATTTATATTGTAAAAAGTTTATTCCCAGTAAAATGATCTTAAGATTTATAAATCTTATAGTTAAATGCTTGAAATTAAAAATATAATAAAAAATCTCTTACCAGAATTGTCTTTATCCAGAATTTTAAAGATTGCTTCTAAACTTCGTTTATTTTTATAGAGGGTTTCCACGACAGTCTGTGTGTCAGCTTTTCTTCCAATTCGCTGTAACAAAAACGATATAGTCGTTAAACTTTATCTGCAATCAAATAAAATGTTCAATATCATTCAGTTGATCCGTTTTCAAGACGGTTGTCTAGACGTCGAGTCTTAATAAAATTTATAGATTCATTAAACTTCTTACTATCTACCACATTTGAAACGGTTTATGATTGAGAACAATGGCTCAATATTATTTAATTACATTACGCGTGCATTCCCACAACATCCAATTTAAAATATTTGTTTCACCTTTTTAATAAGGTTTCATTGGAATTTTTTGAGAAAAGCTAGATATCTATACTAAATTCAGCTACTGTACCTAAGTACTGTTATTATAGAATTTAATAAAAGTCATTCACTAAATGGAATTTCTTAATCAATAAATGTATATTATAATTTATTGATTGATTCCGAATTTTACTTCTGCTTTCTATAGAGTGTCAAAAAACGATTTCTTTTTATCATAAAATATTAGGTTGGGGAAAAAGGGTTCTTCACATTTTATATGAAAACTCAAATCATTTTTCAATAAAGTTAACATTCAACTAAATTATGCTAACTAAATATTATGATATTATTATTATTATTTTATAGATTTTGAGGTGGTCTTTCCGATTTTCGACTTTGCCACCTCTTAATTTGGCCGCTCGCGCCCTCATATTGGAAGAATGGCGCCTAAAAGCAGCTTTTTGACAAAATCTCCTTTCCGTCTCATTTTACGATAAAAACAGTTATATAGAAAATGACTTTAGAGACAATTCCTACAATTTATGTATCTATATTTTTTTTTCATAAAGTCAATAGTTTTGGCGTATGAGCGCCGCAAAGTGTACTCCAACGCGCGCTTTGGTCATTACTCATTATTCATGCAATCCGTGGCATTTCATGATATTATTTATTACTCATTATACTTACTTGTCAGTTATAAAATGAATGTAAATCTAAAGTGTAGTGACTATAGATATTATAGTATTATATAGAATTTGCAACACCTGGTCCATCGAGAACAACAAAGCGAAGGAGAATACACTAAATTTTAGCACATTGAATTGCATGTGGATTAGGCCTATTGGGGATGCCACATTAAGAAAACGTCTCTAGTTTCTCATTTTGTATAAAGGTAACTGTTTTTATCGTAAAATGATTCGGTTTTATTAAGTCGTAATAAAGAATCACAAATGAGTACACGATTCATTAGGTTTCTTTCAGTGAGCTCGTGAGGCACCCAAATATCGAGCTTTTTTGTGTACTCAGCTTTTGCAACTGCGCCAAAACTGTTTTGTGGTCAATTCCTAGTACTTCAACTACGTTGTAACTACTGATATGCCGATCTTGTTCCACTTTTTCAAAAATGGCATCCATTTTATCCGTAACAGGGCGACCAGAGCGACGTGCATCTTTGACATCAAAATTTCTGGATTGAAAACACTTAAACCTCACAATATTTTTTCACGGCTTGCGTTGCATTTTTACCTTTTTTAGAGTTCCGTAGTCCTGACAAGGAACCCTTATAGTTTTGTCATGTCCGTCTGTCCGTCCCCGGTTTTGCTTCGATACTATTAGCACTAGAGAGCTGTAATTTTGTGGAGATATGTATATTGATCACTATATGTATGTATGTATATGAAAAATATATTTTTTAATGTAGCTCACGTAGCCCTACATGTAACCTGAAAATGTTTTTTTTTTCATCATCTACCCCATCGTGTGTGATATCGTTGGATAGGTCCTTTAAAATTGCTTAGCTTAATTTTGTTATCAAGAAAAGGACAATTTGTCCTTTTTTGATAACAAAATGGCGATGGCTCAGCCGTGTGGACTCGGAAGCGGACTCGCCGTTTCGCTCGCGCTACGTTGAAACGTACAGTTTAGTCTCGCTCGCTCGATTGAATGTTTATTTACAGACGTGTGCGTGTGTAAGAGTTGCTTATGTAATTGAGCCGGATCATATTTTATTTGATGCAAGTATGAGCGTACCCTTCCCTTTTTGTTTTAATCTAAGATCTTGACAGTAATAAAAACCAATGAAAATCACACACACTTTTTTCTAATTTGAATTTGGAATTATCTTCATTAAAATTTAAACTTTTTAATGATACCAAATCCAGCCAGATACAAATGGTATAGCCAAAGAAATTTTATTACATATTCATACATACTATAATGCGAAAAGATTTTTCCCCAACCACTTACAATACATTTACTTTGATACTTTAAGAACAAGAACGAGATCAATTAACACATTTTTGGCTACTCATACTTGGCGTGGTTTCACATCATCTGTAATCGTTAACCAAACATGCATAAAGCTCTTCGGTATTCATATAGAATAATAAAATAACAGAACGGCATAAATCAACGTTTATACCCCGAGAATAAATTCAATTTCCTGGTTTATGTGAATACTCGGGAGTCAAGGACCGACGCAGTTTCCTTTAAAACCCTCCTTCATTCTGAATCAAATCCAGTTCCCAATGGAGATCAACAACTAACACAACCAAAGGTTCCAGAAGAAAAAATTAAACCAAACCATATCCTATGGGCAGTAAAATACGTCAATTCATGCTGTTACAAAAACTTACTTCATAAATGTAGTTTTAGGTCTAATGTTAAATGCTTTATGCGAAATCAGCTTTGCATAAATTTTGTGTTGTGATAGATACATTTAAAAACCACAAAATCGTACTGAAAACTTAAGACTACGATAGTACTAGAAAACCCGGTATTTTATTTATAACTAGAAAATCTTCGTCGTCTTGTAAGATGAGAATGCCAAGCTTGTTAACTTAGAGAGATAGGATTATACGAAAGAGGTATTATTATACGGGATCGCAAAAGGCTTAACGAGCCTTTGGAAAGAAGAAAGAATAACATTTATGTTGAGTGCACGTAAAAAGTTCTCCAATCTTCACGACTCTGGAACAGCCTCCCTGACTCCGTTATAAGGTCACCTACTAGGTGCAGTTTTAAGAAGAAAGTTCATGAACTTCTCCTAGAAAGCCGAGAACGTTACTCACAAGTTCCCTTGACAGTCTCATCATCAATATATTTTATAAACGGTGTTAATAATAATTATGTATCTATGTATGTGTATGTGTATATATATATATATTATAAATATTTATATAATTATTATATTTAAATGTATTCTATGCATGTATATTTAGGTTTATTTTTAAATAAACATTTATGTAGTTACTTTTACTGGTGTATGTTTATAGTAAATCACTTTTTTTCTATTATAGCCGCATTCGTGGATTTCCTTATGCCTAAAGGTTGACTGGCAGAGAATGCTTTTAGCGTTAAGTCCGCCTTTTGTCCATTTTTGTAATTGTAGCAATAAAGTTTAAATAAATCAATAAATAAAAAAAAAGTTTTGATATCTCACAGTGGAGTTGAGGTCGAACGTGTCCATGTAGCGTAAGCGGCGTGAGTCAGGATCGGAGCGGACTAGCTTGTCCTTCAGCATTCGCCACGGCAATCCCAAATGAGTAGTCTCTTCCATCGCTTGGCACCACTCGCTGACTGATATATAACCTATAAACAAAATTCATGACATATGTATTTCTAACAAGCACACCAATCATTTTTGTTTGTTTCGTGGGATCCTAAAGTCATCACAAAATAATAGGCTCGTTTTGGCATTTGTGCGCCCATTAAGTTTCATATCGTCTGCTTAACAAGAAATTTTGCTAACTCCACTTTTGGTCAAAAATTATCTAACAATGGCGTTTGTTTCCTTTAATGTGAACACATCGTTTACGTTAGTTTGGCAACTCCTTCAATAAAGTGAAGATAGCAAATTTACATGTTAAGCAGACGATATATGCGAAATTCGAAATTATTTCTAAACTTGAAATAAATAATTATTGTTCTTCATTGTTATTAGAGACGTGCAGTTTGTTATCAAAGTTATTGAATCGGTAATTGGGGGACGTAGAATTATAATAATAATACATTTAACATTTATTTTCTCTCCACAAATAAATTTTATAGAATCATTTTTAGTTATGGTTGTATGATATAATATGGTTCCAGAAAAAAATATATTTAATGTTTCAACTAATAAATATATAATGTTTAACATTTTTAACCGCTATTTGACAAAATCCTTAAAAGCTTTAGTAAAATTAATTGACTTTATAATTATCATAAAAACTGTGTGTCCTGTTCTTTGAAATTATAGTGTCCTTATTCACTGCATATAGGATTGCTGATCGTATGTAAACATTTTCGATTTAATCAAACTCTGTAATCAGCTAATACTGGCAATATTAGTTAAAATTAATAAAAAGTCAAAAGTTAGTTATAAAAATTACAAATTGGGAAAACGTTATATTTTGTAGCCCTCATTTTTAGTACAACAGCAGAAAAAATGCAGTTAGAAAAGGACATAAAGCCTCCGTCCTACATCTTTCACCAGTGCGGCTTTCTCCAGTGCATCCATCACTGACACATCTTTTAACCGACATATCTTACGCAGTCCTTTTATTTTGTAATATGCCAATGCCAATAAGGTTTTGGAGAAAAAAAGGCTTTTACGATTTTACATTGTAAGTATGCCTCACAACAAAAAATCATTTATTTCCTTCAGGAATCAATATCCAGTAAAATAATTCATAAAGTGTAACTTCAGTTATAAAAAATCTTCGAAGGTTGAGTATGTTGAAAATTATTAAATCCCCAAATTAATCAGTCTTGTAGGACTTAATAATTAATTACAGATATTACGATGGAACTATAAACCATCCATAAACACCTTGCTGTCTTCAACGCCTCCGATAGGTATTTATTTAAGTCAATCATTATAATACAATGAAAGAACATAATTTTAACTATATAACTTTAACCTTTATAATCTTATGCCCAGTAATTGGTAGACGTATAATCCGGTTGACTGGTAGAGAATGCCTAATGGTATTTATTTAGTATAAATAAATAATTGAAACCAGTTTTCGGTTAATTAAACCCTTAAAGTATAGATTTAAGATTCAATCACTTTCGTTCGCTTTTCATGATTTATTTGTGATTGAGCGAATGTTATTGTAACTAAAATTTGTAACTAAAATTGACCTTTCGTACGAATGTTATTGTAACTAAAATTGACCTTTCGTACTATTGTATTATTTCAAATACCTACAATATTTAATTTTCTAATCAGAACTTTAATCCAATGCACTTTACAATAAACAATCAAATCAATCAAATACTCATACAAGCTTGAATCGATATATCGTGAGTATCGTGTACCGAGTCACGGTAATATTATCTATACAGTATTGTGACTCCGGCCTGTCCTTGAAAATAAATGCCTACACCGAACGCTGCGTTGGCACGCGGTAGGGCCGCCAGCCTACAGTATTTTATGTAGTTTTGTTTTTAACGCGAGTGTAGGTAGATTACTCGTTTGTCTCATTTTTCATCCTAACCACTTATTTATATATTATTCCAGATATTTTGCCCGATGGAAAAACCGAAATACCTAAATATTAGAAACAAATAACGTACTAGTAGATAGGTATGTAAAAAATATTCTATAAAGGTAAGACACCTTTCCAATATTTCAGGTAATTTAAAAAATGATATCTCTGGGTGTGTTATTGAAGAGTTCAAGCAACCAAAAACAGCAATTGTGCTGTTGTACGATATTGATCGTCGTTTGTTCTTTTCCATACTAAATTATGTAGGTATCTACTTAATTAAATCAAATATTTACAATACAAAATGCATGTTTAAGCACGGCTAACTGCATAAAAAACAATTCAGACCGTTCGGTCGTCGTTGCGGCGCGGCGCCGGCGCATTCGCGACTGGGTGCATGCACGCCGAGAGCACATCGAACTCGAGTGGCGTAGGTATGACTCGCTTTCCGACCGTTTGTATGAAGATAGAATACTGTATGATATTACTACCGTAACCGAGTCGTATGGTTGCATCACTAGATAAAAATATCAAAACCGGCCTATTATTTTATGATGACTGTAGTATAAAACTGCCTCAAAAATAATGAAATATTTGCATTAACAGTACAACGGAAGGTCACGAGTCATATTTATCAAAAAAATCTTCTAGTTTGATTTTAACTAAAGTCCGTTTCCTAAAATTTCAATAGTTTTTGCAATCTCAGCCTTTGTAGCGGTATTTTAAAATGATGTTCAAGCCATACATATTTAATAGCTTAATCTAAACAAATGAGGTCAAGATCTACGAGTACCGTCGTTTGTTAAGGGTGTCAAATAAGCCGCCTCTGTTCGAGGAAAACAAAGCTTTTATAATATTTCTCATGTTCATTTTGCAATGTCGTATTAAATTCAGACGAAAGTCTATGTAATATTACTTAATGAATGAGGATAGGTTAATTGATGTAGTTGTTTCATTTACCTATTTTAACAAAATAAGTGAACTTGCTGGAAAGGGGAAATTCACGTCACATCCAATGTACATAATATGATAATGGCTCGCCTACGCCTTTTTAGTATTATTACCAGTGTTATAGAAACGAATTAAACCACAAAGTTCAATCTGCTCGTCCGCCCTTTTATGTGTTGATGTACCTACCTATTTAGTTTTCGCATTACCTGTGTTTACCAGGATAATGTTGCTTTTAGTTTTTAACATTATATTAAAGCACCGCAAGAGGTCGTCCGTTTTTGGGTGATAATTACTTGAGCTCCGAACCAAATAGGACCAATAGGGCCAAAAACTACTTAAACTGTCAGAATCGAAATCATAGCAATATATAACCTTAGGTCGGTTTTAGTCCTCTATATGTAGATTAGGTACTTCGCTTTGTACTTATATAATACCTGCACGATAAAATTATAAAAAATATCGACGGTACTTGTATTTGTCATTTTTTTAATAAGCTCTCTGTGTAATTTTAGATGTTCTTTATAAAATATTTCATTAGTTGCGAGGATTTTAATAATGTAAGCAATTAAGACCTCAGAAAGACCCCAAGCCAAGGGCGTTGCTCCGTTGTCATAATTCAACTCATTAAACAACCTAAAGAAAAGTTTACTAGAAAAAAATCCACGCGGACCAGGCAGCGGACGGGACTCGAACCCGCATCCTTCGCTATCCGGGCGAATGCACTGACCATTATGCTATCACGGCCCTATTAGCCGCGTCGAAATTTTCCTAGCCTTAAGCTGCAAGGCAGCTTTTTTTTTCTAGTAAACTTTTCTTTAGATTTAAACATCTAGCAGTTAAATGCTTAAAAAAAAAATCATAACTATAATTGCTATTTCTTCTTTCAAATGTTTAATACTTGAAAAAGTATTCATTTGACATTGTGGGTTACCTACAATGCAAAGAGATGGCGCTGTCTTGCAGCTTAAGGCTAGGAAAATTTCGACGCGGCTAATAGGGCCGTGGTGGCATAATGGTCAGTGCATTCGCCCGGATAGCGAAGGATGCGGGTTCGAGTCCCGTCCGCTGCCTGGTCCGCGTGGATTTTTTTCTAGTAAACTTTTCTTTAGATTTAAACATCTAGCAGTTAAATGCTTAAAAAAAAATCATTAAACAACGTTAGAGTTCGCGGAGTGAAAAAAGTATTTGTAATAAAAAAAATAGCCAGATCTGAGCCTCTTTATGGGACTGGTGTTTCTCTTTTATGTACGTTAGTAGTTTAGTTTATTGGTAAGCGCTCTGCGTGAAAAACTGATTTAGGGAGATTTGTTTCACAATCTACAAAATCTTGTTAGACTGAAGTTTTCTCGTTTCTACAAATGTGAGAACGTGAGGCAAATACGAAATTTGATCCCTGAAACGGAATACGAAAAAGTTTCTCCTGCGACTCGATATTTTAAAATAAAATTTTAAAAAGTCACAAAATGTTCTAGTAAAGCTATGGTGTAAAACGTCAACAAATATACGCATCAAAAAGGCTTAAGGATTAGTGCACGACCACGTACATAATTGATGCCGGCGTAAACTAGAGTAATTTCCCCCATTTATACAAATACTGCAAGTGTTCTTTATTTATATTACAGGTCCCTAGAACATTTTAAAATTATGAAATCCACGCAGACAAAGTCTTGGGGAGAGTATTGTAAAATATAAAATAAGGTGTTCTTTTTGTGTAGCATTTAGGTATGTCGGTACCTACAAGTATCATGATCTTATACAAAATGCAAAAACCTTAAAATAGTTTCATATTGCCATCAAATTTTACGCTTATACTGTACGCTCAGATTCTGTTATCTGAGACCATGTACCTATAAGGTGAAAATCTGTATCTACTTAATTAATTACAGGCATTGGAAACATACCCACTGATAATTATCAGTACCTTTAATCTGTTACCGATTATTATAATAATATTATTATTATTATATATTAATAGATATTTATTAATAGATTCGTGTAAATCTTTTTTTTATAGTTTTATGGCAGTGATCATCTTAGGATCCGCATAGGTATTTCAATATATGTTTGTCATCGAGATTGCCCTTTGATAAATTTATATCACTATGCTCGGTATGGGAATTCGCTGTCTTCAAAGGAATTACATCGAAAGCGTGGTAAAAACGGCCT